GAATTCCGCCTACGCGGAAGGGGGATTCAAGTTTTGTCCTATGCACGGACGAAGGTGTTCGCCTGTGCACAGGAGAAGTAGGGTTAGGGAAGGCGCGAAGTCCGCCTGCGCACAGGCGTTCGCCTGTGCACAGGCACTTCGGCGTCGGCGGAAAATCCGCCTTGGGCCCTAGAAATGCGCCTTGTGAGGTAGAAAGTGTACGGCGCCTTCCGCGCCAGCGCAGCGCCGCGTACGTCGGAAGAGCCGCCAGAGTAATCCAACAGGTACGGACCGTGCGGACGGCACGGGTGGATGCGCTCTTGGACGGACGGAGTTGCGGCGGCGGAAGCGCCGACGGAGAGACAAGGAACGGACAGACTGGACGGAGAAGGCTGACCACGGTCAACGCCTTCCGCGCCAGCGCAGCGCCGCGGACGGAATTCGCCTGCGCACAGGCGAACGCCTGTGCACAGGAGGATGTTCAAGTTCCGCGCCGGCGGAGAATCCGCCGAGGCCCCTGCCTGCGCACAGGCAGGAGTTGAATTTTTGTCCGACATGCGGACACACGCGTCAAGGCAGAAGGAGATTGGCCGAGGGGCGGTACAAACAAGTGTACCGCGCAAGGCGGAAAACTCGCCTTCGGCGCTACGCCCCCATGTCCGGAGGGTGACACGCTCGCGGAGTTCAAATCCGCCAATTCGAGCGTGAGAGTTTAATCGACGACGGCGGAGCGTGAAGCCGCGCGTGAGAGCGAAGACCGTCCCAGCGTACAGCCGGCGCGGCCATCAAGTGAGACGTTCTTCACGACCAAGAGCCGACCATGACCTTCGACCGGGCGGCGGAGAACGTCCCATTCTTGAATTCGCGATTCCAATCTCTTGTGAGCGCTGCGCGCATCCATCTGCTGGCTGCTCCGCAGCCAGCAGATGGATGCGCGCACAGGAGATTTCTTGTTGATTGAGGGAGAAGTGAGTGCGCGTGATTTGGAATTGAGAGCGATTAGAGTTTGCCGAGAGAGAAAGAAACGCGGACAGTGCGGAAGTAGAATGAGCGGACGAGCGAACCCCAGGAACGCAATGACGAGACCGAGCAGATTGCGGATGGTGCCACTTCGCTTGCCGCAGAACGGGCTGCGCGCTTTCGAAGAGCGCTTAATAGCAAGAAAGCTCGATTTCTTGCTATGGGGATGGAATTACATCTGTGCGAATATGGTGCGCGAGTGGCTAGAGCCACAGGGACCACCCTCGCGCGGATTGCGTCCGCATGTTGACCGGTGGACAGTCCAAGATTGGGCGCAGGCGTTGGGAAGATGTGCTGGCATGCCAGGGCATCTCCTTTTCGACAGTGAGAGCATCAAGGTGACCAAGCAAGAAGAGGCGCAATTTGTGGAGCTGTTCAAGACCGGGAGGTCTACCAAGAATGGGTACAGGACCCGTGATTACAAGGATCGATTTCGCCGGACTCTGTCCGCGGCGCTGATGCAATTACTGCAGCCGCACCGCGCCTGCTACATCACATTGTGGCAGGTCTCTTTTGTGGAGTGCGTCATCGAGGGAACTCCAATTCACTGGGCGAGCATCCTGCACAGGGTGATGCGACAGCACGCGTTTGAGGAGAAGGGGGGAACTCTAAACCATCTTTCTCCTTTCCTCATCAATTTTTATCGACAGCGGAATTGTTTGACAGCGGCGGAGCTTGAACATTTTCCGCCATTGTCCATCGACCATCCCGTGAAGTATGTGCGGGAGAACGAGGTCGACACTGATGCGGAGGAGTCACCGACTTCTACCCCATCAAGACGGAGGGACGAAGGGAGACACACTCCTGCAGCGCGAGTGCCGCGGAAGCGGCGATGGAGGGAAGAGTCCGAAGAGGAGCAGCATCAAGAACCCTCTGCTCCCATTCGACCGCGGCCGCTGTGCGAGCCATACAGCCGGCCGAAGCAGAAGGCACGCAGACTGGTGTTACCAGCTGACAGTGCAGACACGGCGACGATTGCGACGGAGATAGGAAGTGCGTCGCCAGAGAGGCGAGAAGAAGCGCGGACGACCGCAGGAGCAACGGGCCACGCTGCAACCTCGTCGGGAGAGAGGCCGCCTACGGGCCAAGGGCCTCCGGAGTTACCACGTGCGATGCGGACAGATGTTCTGTTTGCGCACAGGCGAACCTCCGCGGACAGACGAGCCTCCGCGGACCGGCGAACACAAGTGGACGTGGATCTACGCTTACGCGTGGGAAGGAGCAGTCCGCCTGTGCACAGGCGCTCACCTGTGCACAGGTCGCCTGTGCACAGAACACCTCCGCACGTGCCGCCTGTGCACAGGCAAGAATCACCCCCGTTCCAACGTAGGAAGGGGAAGGAGCCGGCGGAAGAACCGCCTACGAGACACCGGCCCTCGGGGCCAGACCCTCCGGCGCACCACGCGCCGCAATTTGCGCCTTCGGCGCCAGGGCCTTCGAGCCGAGGGGATACGAGCAGAGAGCGTGCGGAGGCCGCACCATCGGCGGGAAGTCCGCCGATAGATGCGCCTTCGGCGGTAGGGCCTATAGGCCAAGGAACATCGGGCGTGCGGCCCCCGGCCATGTCGCCTTCGGCGATAGATGTCCGCGGCGCTACGCCTGCGGCGGACAAGGCGCCGGCAAATGCGCCTGCGCACGGGCCGGGCACAGCCCCCACGGACCGATCAAGGGAGCAGCAGACGGAGGAGCGGAGTGACTGTCCGCGGGATGAAATCTCGATGCGCGATGCGCAATCCAACCCCGCGCAGCCACCCTCCGCTCAATCGCCTTCGGCGACGGACGACGGCGACAGAGAGAATGCGGTAGGCAATCAACCAGCGAGAGACGGGGATGCCGCACGGGTACATTCGCCTTCCGCCTTAGACATTTTGGCGACGAGCAGCGAGGCTGCAGCCGTGCCTTCGCAGGCAGCACACGTCGAGGACGTGCAGCCCCACTCGGGGCAGTCGCCGACGCAATCAATGGCGACTGAAATTCTCCACTCGGATGATGACGACGGAGGCTCCACGGAAGAAATGTCAGGAGCAGAAGACACCGAGGAGGAGGAGGAGGAAATTGTTGGAGCGCCGGCGGCGGCGCTCTCTGAGCAGGTGATTCCGTTGCTGCGGTACTTGGATCGCAAGGTCGATAAATACGCCGACCCACTCCAGCCGGGATCTTACATCGAGTTAGTGCGCAGGCGGACTTGCACTAAAGTCCACACCAGCAAGCTATTAGCTAGAGTGGACCAGGAGTTGAGGGACTTGAAGGAGAAGCATGAGTGCTTGTGGGGACAGTACAAGCTTAATCAGAAATTCTACAAGCACTCCGAGAAGATGAAGGATGAGAAACTGGGCGAGCTCACCAAGGAGCAGGTGAAGGTCAAGGAAGCACTCGATTCTGAGCAGGCCCAGAATCGGATTTTGTCAGAGGAGCTCGTGCGACAGACGAGGTTGTTGGAACAATGTCAGCTCGCACGGCAGGCGGATGAAGAGTTAATCCGCAGGTTGCAGTCAGAGTGCGGCGAATTGAGAGCGCAACGTGCTGAAGCCGAATCGCAATTAGTGACGATCGAAGAGGATCGCAGGAAGGAGGCGGATCGCACGAAGGTGGAGACGGCGAGGCGAGTCGCCCACTGTCTCAAGGGCTACGCCCACTGGGAAGTGAAGGCGCAGGAGAAACTCACACTGCGTGAGTTTGAATTGCGCGCAGCCGGGTTGTTGTCAGGCGACAGTAGGAGTCGGCGGAAGGTAGCGAAGAAGCTCGAGGCCTTTCTGTCGAAGGCACAGGATACCATGTCCGCCCTCGAGGGGGAGGTGGCCGCGGCGTTGCAGCGGTTGGGACTGCGCAGTCGAGCGGAAGAGTGGCAGGGTAGGGAGTTAGTGCGCGGCAGTCGGCCGCGCAGGAGACGTAGTACAGGTTCCGCGGAGTGTAGTGTAGCGTGGTTCCGTGCAGGCGTGTAGCGTAGTGCAGTGTAGTGTTAGGTAGGACTTAGAAGGTATAAAATAGTTCCAGGCGTTTTGCCTGGGGTTCTTTCCCATCAGAAGTGCAGATCAGGAACCCATTTCCTTTGCGTGTTTGTGTCCTTGAGTTCTGTCACCACGCACGAGGAGTTACAACTTAGCGTTCCGCATTTTGTAGCTGAAGGCCTTCGGCCGAATGTTCAGAGCTAGTACATTGGTTAGAGACTTGAGTAGTTCGGATCTGCACCTGCGGGTGACTGCCGATGCTCAGAGCCAGTGACTAGTTAAATACTTGAACAGTTTCGCCCCTACACCTTCGAGTGTTTCTTTCTGATTGTACTCCTTTGGGATTTTTCCCCTGAATGCCAAAGTGAAGTTTTGCTACTTCGTGTAAGCCTTGGTTGTAAATTCAGGTTACGCTGCAGCAGGTGCCTTGAGGGTAACCCCTGTAGTATTTCTGGGAATGACAAGTGCCTGAGAATTCAAACTCTTCAATAGACTGTTGTTGTGTTACTGGAATGTTTCTCAGTGAGTCCTTCAGTGCGGACCTGTGTTCTCTGTGCGTTTTGTGAGTTGAGAGTGTTGTTCACCGCGTATGAGTGACTTCGATCCGAAGTAGGCAGTCCAAACCGGGTTTCCTACACTAGCAGCAAGCTAGTGGAAGTGTTGTAAAAGCCGGAGTTGGAAGTCACTACCCGCAGCTTCGCCGAGTGTGCTCGCGAGAGACTTTCCCCCCTGAAATCTTGAGTAGAGGTCCTAACGGATCTCTGGGTTGTGTTTCTGTAGTTTCAGGTGTGTGTGTGTGTGTGTGTGTTACGCTGCACTGTGCGACCTCCGAGTGCGCTCCGAGTGGACACTTGCAGTATTTCTGGGAGTGACAGTTGCCTGAGAATTCAAACTCCTCAATAGTCTGTTAAAACGTGACACTTTGTACCCTGTGTGTTCCTCTGTCCCTGTGGGTTCGACCTTTCTACCACTATATTGCAGTTTTAGCCTTTAGTGGGTTATTACACGGTTCCAACGGAGTTTTGAACTTGACGCCAGATGACAGGACCAAGCCTCAACATCACGTCCGAACGGTGGGCATGGCTCTCGTCTCGTCTCCTATCGACATGCGAGGATACCTTTACGGCTGGAAGTCCTTCCGCACACATTTCACTTTCAGAATCGAGCCCATCCATCCACCTGGAGATGGCTTGGCCTTTGTGATGCTCGGTGGTAAGGAAATGGGCACTGAAGGTGGCAATTTAGGCGTCTACAATCGTTCCGGGTGGCAGAACGTCCAGACGGTCGCCATAGAGTTTGATACATATCAAAACTCCGATTATGAGGACATAAATGCAAATCACGTTGGCATTGACTTTCAGACTGCAAGGTCGAATAAAGCCAGAGATGCTTCGGCAGGTAACATTTCACTTGCCGGAGGTGAAGTCATTCACGCCTGGATCGACTACAGTGCAGTTGACGAGCAGCTGGAAGTTAGGATTGGGCTTGACGGAAGAAAACCCAGGGACCCATTCTTCAGCTACTCGGTAGCACTTTCTGAAATCTTCAGTGGGCCGGTGTACGTAGGCTTCGCGGGATCCAATTCTGTATTCTGCAAATGTCACAGTTTTTACTCCATCTTGTACTGGACCTTCGAGACTTTCTGGGAATTTCACCCCCTGCATTTCCTTCTAGGATTCATCAGTTTTGTAGTGCTTCTTGTTCTGGTCAAATTCCTCCATTGTGATAGATCTGTCTCGTCTAGTGATTACCAGAGCAACAACTTCCCAGCTGAAACTGCAACCTACATGCCGCTCCCGGACCCGCCTCCCAGCAATCGCACCTCGTGAATTCAGCTTTAGAAAGCTGGATTTTGTTACCCATGGTTTCAACCACATCATCCGAGAAACCGGACCTGTCTCGATCTTTAAGGGTACGCTTCGGATGAGGATTGGACCATTATGGTCTTCGTGGTTCGGATGGAAGGAGTTCGATGTGGCCGTGACGGCATGGACGACCAATAACTCCAACGAGGCGGCAAACGAATTCGAGTCTATGATCCGAACTCTCGAAAGTGTGCAACACGGCAACATTACGAGGTTCTTCGGCTGGTGCAGAGAAGGGAACAAATGCTTACTGGTGCACGAGTTCATTCGACGCGGAGACTTGGAGTATGCCTTGTTTAACTCGCCACAGTCGCTCTCCTGGAACGACAGGGTCGATGTGATTATCCACATATGTGAAGCCTTGTGCTACCTGCAGAAAAGGCAGATCCTGCATCGTCAGGTCAAGGCTAGTAATATTCTTCTGGACGCTGTTTGGGACGCGGAGAAGGGTCATCTGGTCACCAAAGCTAAGCTCAATGATTTTCGGCTGGCGAAGGAACTTGTATGTGGTGACAATAACTCATCCGCGGATAGCAAATGTGAAAATCTGAGTTTCGGGGTCGAGCCTCCAGAGGCTGTCAAGGATGGAAAATTCAGCGAGGAGTCTGATGTCTACGCATTTGGAAGCGTGATCCTGCAAATTGTTACCGGGAAGCGCACTGCAGACCCGGTTCCGAACTCCAGCACGTTTCTTCTGTGCAATTGGGTCGTAGAGAAGGGCAAAAATAACTGCTTAGGAGATGCTATCGACCCCAAACTCGGTCACCTTTTCCGGCAAGATGAGGCCATTGCACTTCTCAATCTTGGTCTGGAATGCTTGCAGCCGGATCGAAACAAGAGACCCTCCATGTTAGTCATTAAGAAGAAAGTGGAGTCTCTTAGGTTGCCCCACAGCCTTGTTAGCTGAAATCTGCCTTTACCCACCAGAGGGCAACTCCATGCCGTGCACAAAATTTCATCGTTCCTAGGAATTTCTGTAGTGGACTTGTCGAATTGAAGTCGGGTAACGAATAGTAGTGTTCTTACACGAAAGGGAAGTTTTGCAATTCGTGGGTACAATGTCCGGGCCCAGCAAAGAACGTGTGCAGTTAAGTTGCCAGTGTACATAAAACGAAACACAGAAGAAGAGAGATTCTGTTTTTCCTCCAGCTGAGTGTAATGACTTGGGTTCATTTTCAATAGAGAAGCAATTGTGAACAGCTGTGATTGAAGAACTGAAGCTGCATGATGACTCTGCATGTTCCTGGCTCATTGCTACTCTTGCAGCTGTTTTGTACAATGTAGCCTCAGGAGGCTATAAATCCCAGTGCTTTACATGTCTTAGAGGCAGATGTCTACCAGTTGCAGGGTTAAGACTTTGGCCGAATACAATTGACCCCGTGAACGATTACGAGTGGGCATGTTCAGTGAATGCTCTTTGATTTGTGGAGCACTTACAGGTCTTGCATAACAGATGCGTTTTGTCTCTTTGTCTTCTGGCAGTCTTTGAACAGATAGAAAAAACTGCTCCTCATAGTCATACTCAAGAACTTCGACGGTTCTAGACCAACTCGACTTCCACCTTCGCTCTATTTTGCACCTGTCAACAAGCTGATCCGCTCAATGTGCTTGCGAGTGGAATAAAGGTGGAAACTTCTGGTTGCCTCGCAGATTTGAGTCCACTACGAAGTCGACGTTGAGACTTCCTCTGAGGTTGAGACTTAAAGGTGCATCGGTTCAAAGCACCGGTAAAATTAAGGCCACAGGCAATACTGTCTCTTCTAGCAGCGGGATTGTTCCTGATCCTGTTGCTCAGTAGCATCCACAGCGTGTCGGCTACTGCTGGATCCCACTTCGCCTGCTCGTAATCGAATCCTGTCTGCAACGAAGCTAGGAGATTTTCATGCAAATTTTAACAACTCTATGGACTCAGCCTCCGGAAGCCCCAACTCCCTCCCTGCGTCTGAAGAAGTCAAAATGTAGAAGAAATCTCAAAAAGTAATCCCCTCTGCACTTAGAATTTCAGTACACGCCGCAGATAGCTCCCTCGTGTGTGACTGGGTTGTACGACCTTTTCTTGGATCTCTTGCTAACTCCACCTTCGATCACTCGAGACCTTTAACTCCATTTGGCTACATCCGCATGTAACAGAGTAGTCTCGAGATTTTCATTTAGCCGCAAAACACTTTCCACGAGCCGTCATCTCCATCCGTTTCGTCGAACGAAGAGATTGTGCTGATGGACTTCTCCTCGAACACATGAATCAGGCGACGTACGTACAGAGAGGAGCATGGCAACTGCCTCGAGCACACTCAAAAAACTTGTCACATACATTGGTCTCTGAAAACTCGGAAACTCAATCTCGAATCGCCCGACCTCATCACAAATGAAATGTCATTGTCAAGAAACCTTCAGCTTTGATACTAATTATAAACGTAAACCCGAGAAACATAATGACGAGACATCGTATACGTAATTCATTCTGAAGAGGGATACTTCCACCCGGAAAGTTCAGTCGTGAGTATTTCTCTAGTGTGTAAAGAAGCACTAAATGTAAGGGGCAGAAGCTAGGGTATTTATTGCTAATCCAAACGATCATTTTAATTCTTTATAGCTAGGACGCAAGATTATTCTCTAAGTGGAATTAACCTGAACACTCCTCACATTTGAAAATCTTTCGGGAGTGTGGTGTACAGCGGTTTTGTCAGATCATAGTCTAGTGCTGGACAGAGTGAGGAAATTAAAAGGTGGTGGGGAGTAAGATAGTTTCCACTTGGAAATAGTAGTTACACTAGCTTCCCGATTAAGTATCTATAAGTTTCTCCAAAAAATGGAGATCAAGATTTATATATTACAAAATGTAATAGGTTGTTACTTTGCGTAAGTTTTGAAGATTTTTGTGTTTGGTTGATGTTTCATCATATGGCACTAGGAGGCTATAATTCAATATAAGTAAAACAAAATTAGCTGGCATGTACTATATCGTATACTTTTTCAGATTATATTGGGTAATAAACTCGTACAAGTAGTCTAAAGCTTTCAGTAATCAACAGTGGCATTTATTTACTTCATCTTCCTGTCCGAGAAGTTGTAACTTTAAACTCGATGCACTACTTTTTGCTTTGGCAATGGTACAATAGAAAAATTGATCCAAATGTAAAGCAGTTGGTCAAACTCAATGAAGCAACCAACAGGATTGAAAAAAATTCTCTTTAGGTCCATCTTTTAAGTTCCATCTTTTTAGCGTTTGCTCCGCTTGTCTCACACGTTGCTTCACGAACATTGTACTTGGTGTTACTCAATTCAAATCACATTGCTAAGATTCATTTAGTAGTTTGGTTTTGGTTTTTTTACATTACTATCAAATCAAAGTGTTAAGAAACTATTTGTGTAATTAAAATTGTATAATTGGTGTTTCAATTTTAAAATGAGAAAAACTTTTATAACTTATATGAGGATCTCTCAGAAGATTACGATTTATTCTCGGTAGGTTTTTCCCATGCCTCGTCTGAACAGAGAGTAGAACCTCTATGATTATTCATTCACTGTAGCTGATATGGAGTTATATATATATACTCCATAATGAAATGTTAGTAGAGTTAATTGAGTTCCATGTTCTACTATCCATTGTTTCAATTCTGACGGTTTCTTCCATTTCTATTGCGAAGTGATTCGGCCGGCCTTGTTTTCGACGCGAAACCATTGGGTGAGAGTGACACGCGAACGGTGGTGTATGGATGTATGTAGTCGGTGGTGATCTAGCCAAAAGTCTAAGTATGCACCTACCGAATAAGAAGCACAATCAATTGAGGAGCAAGGTGCGTACTTAGTGAGAAACTGGAATCAAGAAGGAGCAACACAATAACATCGTGCAGATTGATGTGAGCATAATCACATTAATCTGCGTCCAATACAGCTAACCTCCGCGAAACAGTTTCTTCCAACTGAGTACGCTGACTTGCCAGAGTTTCTGCGACGAAAGATAGACGTATATGACAGGAAGTTGACCAAAAGACAGGATGGCCACATGTATTACATAGCCGCAATTTAGTGGATACAGGTAAAACGAATCCTCCTTCAAGACCTCCCGACCTCTTCTCGGATATGTGGGGAATCGTGTCCGAAGCAGACGAGTCACAACAGTTAATTGTGATAGGAGTGAGGTGATGGCTGTCCTAAGCGGCTACATATGCTGCTGCTGAGCGTCGTTCATTTCCAGAATTGGGTGTTGCAGAACACCCCGTCTCGAGTGCTCGTTCCTGGATCTGTACAGAATCGAGCCACTCTATGAAGCAGAACACCCCATCTCGAGTGCTCGTTCCTGGATCTGTATAGAATCGAGTGTTTCATGAAGCAGAATACCCCAACTCGAATGTTCGTTCAGGAATCTGTATAGATTCGACCCACTTCATGAAACGGTGGCTATGGAAGGTCGCATGTGTGTTCTTGCGAATTCTCCCAAGCAGCTCCGTAAATATCGAAAGTCTGTAGATCATGCGACAGCCCAGAGTTGATTTGGAAAGGACTAGGTCAAGCTCTGCCTGACAGGCATTTTGTTTGGTCTCGCTAAAATACTTTTGAAATCTTCGTTCAATACTCTAGAAAATACCAATTGTTGCTCTGTGAAACATATTCTTCTTCATGAGCTTTGACGACCAATCGGGCCCGAGGAATCATCTTCCGTCATCGACCGATCATCGTCGAGTGTTGTTCGTCCGAAGCTCCGGGAGTCGGTGCGGACAGGAAGAGCCCCAAGTTCATTCACCTGATGCAGAATGGCTCCGGCTTCCCATCAGCTGTACGGGTTTTGATTTAAGTCCCAAACTTAGACCACACTTTGTAAAGCCTCGCTCTCACACGGAAGAAGATCACCAAGATGATGGGTACTCCGAATTTGTTGATTCTGGTGCTCATAGGAGCTGGATGGTGCGGGGTCCTTGTAACATGTGAATTCACATTCGGTACAGACGCATCTCCTTTTTTCTGCAGCGAAGAGGGCAGCTTGTGGTGTGCGGGCGACGCGAACGTTGGCTCCAACGGAGTTTTGAACTTGGCGCCAGATGACAGGACCAAGCCTCAAGAATACGTCCAAACGGCGGGTATGGCTCTCGTCTCGTCTCCTATCGATATGCGAGGGAAACTTTACGGCTGGAAGTCCTTCAGCACGCACTTCACTTTCAGAATCGAGCCCATGTACCCGCTTGGACCTGGAGACGGCTTGGCCTTTGTGATGCTCGGTAGTAAGGTAAAAGGCTGTGCAGGTCGGAATTTCGGCGCCTTCGACTGTTTCGGGTGGCAGATCGTCCAGACGGTCGCCGTCGAGTTTGATACATATCAAAATATCGATATTGGGGACATAAATGCAAATCACGTGGGCGTGGACTTTCAGTCTATCAGGTCGAATATCTCCAGAGATGCTTTGGAAGGTGGCATTTCACTTGCCGGAGGTGAAGTCATTCACGCCTGGATCGACTACAGTGCAGTTTACGAGCAGCTGGAAGTTAGGATTAGGCTTGACGGAAGAAAACCCAGGGATCCATTCCTCAGCTACTCGGTAGCACTTTCTGACATCTTCAGTGGGCCAGTGTACGTAGGCTTCGCGGGATCCAATGGAGGCTGCAAATGTCACAGTTTTTACTCCATCTTGTACTGGACCTTCCAGACTTTCTGGGAATTTCGACCCTTGCAATTCCTTCTAGCAATCATCAGTCTTGTAGTGCTTCTTTTTGTTCTCGTCATAATCCTGCTCCATTGTTATAGATCTGTCTCGTTTACCAACTTACCAAAAGAGAACCCACTCTCTGACCGGCTTCTACCTGAAGACAGTCCAGCAATCTCACCTCGTGAATTCAGCTCCAGAGAGCTGCAGTCTTATACCGATGGTTTCAACCACAGGATCCGAGAAACCAAATCCATCTCGATCTATAAGGGTACGCTTCGGATGAGGATTGGACCATTATGGTCTTCGTGGTTCGGATGGAAGAAGTTCGATGTGGCTGTGACGGCTTGGACGACCACTAACTCCATCGAGGCGGCAATCGAGTTCGAATCTATGATCTGCACTCTCACAAGTGTGCAACATGGTAACATTACGAGGTTCTTCGGCTGGTGCAGAGAAGGGGACAAATGCTTCGTGGTGCACGAGTTCATGCGCGGAGACTTGGAGTATGCCTTGTTTAAGTCGAGACAGTCGCTCTCCTGGAAGGACAGGGTCAATGTGATATTCGACATATGTGAAGCCTTGTGCTATCTCCGTAAAAGGCGAATCCTGCATCGTCAGGTCAAGCCTAGTAATATTCTTCTGGACGGTGTTTCGGTCGCGGAGCAGGGTCATATGGTCACCAAAGCTAAGCTCAACGATTTTCGGCTGGCGGAGGCATTGGGACCTGGTGACAAAATCTTCGTAGACAAATCTCTTGCGGATGAGTGGTCTGCTGGTCTGAGTTTCGGGGGCCTGGCTCCAGAGGCTGTCAAGGATGGAATATTTAGCGAGGAGTCTGATGTGTACGCATTTGGAAGCGTGATCCTGCAAATCGTTACCGGGAAGCGCACTGAAGACACGATTCCGAACTCCAGCCACTTTCTTCTGTGCAATTGGTTGGTAGAGAAGCTCGAAAATAACTGCTTAGAAGATGCTATCGACCCCAAACTCCGTCACCCTTTCAGGCAAGATGACGCCATTGCACTTCTGAAACTTGGCCTGCAATGCTTGCAGCCGGATCGAAACGAGAGACCCTCCATGTTAGTCATTAAGAAGAAAGTGGAGTCTCTTAGGTTGCCCCACAGCCTTGTTAGCTGAAATCTGCCTTTACCCACCAGAGGGCAACTCCATGCCGTGCACAAAATTTCATCGTTCCTAGGAATTTCTGTAGTGGACTTGTCGAATTGAAGTCGGGTAACGAATAGTAGTGTTCTTACACGAAAGGGAAGTTTTGCAATTCGTGGGTACAATGTCCGGGCCCAGCAAAGAACGTGTGCAGTTAAGTTGCCAGTGTACATAAAACGAATCACAGAAGAAGAGAGATTCTGTTTCCCTCCAGCTGAGTGTAATGACTTGGGTTCATTCTCAATTAGAGAAGCAATTGTGAACAGCTGTGATTGAAAAACTGAAGCTGCATGATGACTCTGCATGTTCCTGGCTCATTGCTACTCTTGCAGCTGTAAAATGTAAAATGTAACCTGAGGAGGCTATAAAATCCAGTGCTTGACATGTCGTAGAGCATATGTCCACCAGTTGCAGGGTTAAGACTTTGGCCGAATACAATTGACCCCGTGAGCGATTACGAGTGGGTATGTTCAGTGAATGCTCTTTGTTTTGTGGAACACTTACAGGTCTTGCATAACATATGCGTTTTGTCCCTTTGTCTTCTGGCAGTCTTTGAACAGATAGACACAACTCTTGATATCCGGACTATCTGAATCTAATTTGCAGTCCCCATCTAGATTTCTATGCAATCACACTAACTGTTATGAATCAAATGTCTGTGACAAGTTTGCATTGCAGCGCGAACAAAATTCAGTGAATAGTGACATGAGCGGAATGAAATGTACGTGTATAGGAATCTATGACATGGTTTGATATATAGATGAATATGCACTTATCGATGAAGGAAATGAACTATTCATATGTATAAAGAGTTATATCATATATATGTATATATGTTAAAATTAAAAATTTCCGTTTAATGATATTGTAGAGCTAATATTGAAATAATATTTAAATAAGTAACTTGTTTTATATGTAAATGATAGAAACAAGAAAATGAATGTTAAGATTGGAAAATATTTAAAAATAAATGAGCAGTTGATGAGAATATTTTAATATATATACTTAAAAATAAACACAAATGTAAACTTTTTAGATTCAAGGGGCTAGAATAGTTTCTGTTAGTCCTATTTTTTTATTTTACAATGAATTTTTTTTTATGTTATATACATTGTGAAATTATTTCCTTACATGGCATGCAAACGATTAAGAATTTGTCAAGATTCTAGTAAATGTTTTCTTGGATGATTTTTTAAATAATAGCATCATAGAGTACGATGTTTAAAATTTTTATTTTCTCTAACATCAGCACAAGATGTTTTGACTCTAAGTTTCATTTTAGAGTAGTTTGGTTAAAATAAGTGTGAAATTTCTTTTTCTTATTTTTCTATAAAAATTATTTTTAGATTAATTTGAATGTTGTAAATGAGTTATAATCATTTTTTTAAAAAAAACTTCTAAAGTTTTTCATGCTTTCACTTTTTCCATTTCCAGATCATGCTTTCGTGCATATAATGATGACTGAACGAATTTCATTTACTATATAAAAAACTTTATTCGTCAATATTGACATTCACAGTGATGTGCCTTTTTAAGTAGTCGAGACGACAGATTTGTAATATGTCCGAGCCAAGCTAAGTTCTGGAAATACACAGAGTAATTTATTAAAAGTTGAACTTTTATTCTTTAGAGCAACGACAAACACTTTTGTATAATTTTATTTTCTTCTAAGAAAGTTTTTTTCAAAGGAACTCCAAACCCAAAGATAATTTTCGTCATCAAATTGTTCAATATAAATCTTAGCAAAACATGTGTTGTCACAACTATAAAGGTTTCTGGAGTGTGTACAGCGGTTTTGTCAGCCTCAGATCAGAGGCTAGTGCCGGATGGAGTGTGGTCGAGGCAGTGAAGAAATTAAAAGGTGGCCGCGATCAAGACGATTTCCGCAGGGAATTGGAGGTAATCAAGAAGGTGCAACACAAACACATAGTGCAGATTTATGTGATTATGCTCACATCAATCTGCGTCCTCTACAGCTAACCTCCGTGAAACAGTTTCTTGCAACCGAGTACGCTCACTTGGAAGAATTTGTGCCACAAAGGATAGACGTTTTGGACACCTGACCAAAAGCCCCAGCAGGAGACAGGATGGCCACATTTGTTGAATAGCCGCAATTTAGTGGATACAGGTCGAACGATTCCTCCTTCAAGACCTCCCGACCTCTTCTCGGATATGTGGGGAGTCGTGTCCGAAGCAGACGAGTCACAACAGTTACTTGTGATGGAAGTGAGGTGATGGCTGTCCCAAGCGGCTACTTATGCTGCTGCTGAGCGTCGTTCATTTCCAGAATTGGGTGTTGCAGAACACCCCGTCTCGAGTGCTCGCTCCTGGATCTGTATAGATTCGAGTGCCTCATGAAGCAGAATAACCCATCTCCAGTGCTCGTTCCTGGATCTGTGTAGAATCGAGTACCTCATGAAGCAGAATACCCCATCTCGAGTGCTCGTTCCCGGATCTGTATAGAATCGACCCACTTCATAAAACGGTTGCTATGGAAGGTCGCATGTATGTTCTTGCGAGTTTTTCCCATCATGCGACAGCATAGAGTTGATTTGGAAAGGACTAGGTCAAGCTCTGCCTGACAGGCATTGCGTTTGGTCTCGCTAAAATACTTGTGGAATCTTCGTTCAATACTCTAGAAAATACCAATTGTTGCTCTGTGAAACAAATTCTTCTTCATGAGCTTTGACGACCAATCGGGCCCGAGGAAGCATCTTCCGTCACCGACCGATCATCGTCGAGTGTTGTTCGTCCGAAGCTCCGGGATTCGTTGCGGACAAGAAGAGCCCCAAGTTCATTCACCTGATGCAGAATGGCTCCGACTTCCCATTAGCCGTAAGGGTTTTGATTTAGGTTGACCACACTCTGTAAAGCTTCGCTCTCACACGGAAGAAGATCACCAAGATGATGGATACTCCGAAACTGTTGCTGCTGGTGCTCATAGGAGCTGGATGGTGCGGGGTCCTTGTAACATGTGAATTCACATTCGGTACAGACGCATCTCCTTTTCTCTGCAACGAAGAGGACAGCTTGTGGTGTGCGGGCGACGCGAACGTCGGTTCCAACGGAGTTTTGAACTTTACGCCAGATGACAAGATGAAGCCTCAAGAATACGTCCAAACGGCGGGTATGGCTCTCGTCTCGTCTCCTATCGACATGCGAGGGAAGTCCTTCCGCACACACTTCACTTTCAGAATCGAGCGCATGTACCCGCTTGGACCTGGAGACGGCTTGGCCTTTGTGATGCTCGGTAGTAAGGTAAAAGGCTGTGCAGGTCGGAATTTCGGCGCCTACGACTGTTCCGGGTGGCAGATCGTCCAGATGGTCGCCGTCGAGTTTGATACATATCAAAATATCGATATTGGGGACATAAATGCAAATCACGTGGGCGTGGACTTTCAGTCTATCAGGTCGAAGATCTCCAGAGATGCTTCTGAAGGTGGCATTTCACTTGCCGGAGGTGAAGTCATTCACGCCTGGATCGACTACAGTGCAGTTTACGGGCAGCTGGAAGTTAGGATTAGGCTTGACGGAAGAAAACCCAGGGACCCATTCCTCAGCTACTCGGTAGCACTTTCTGACATCTTCAGTGGGCCGGTGTACGTAGGCTTCGCGGGATCCAATGGAGTCTACTATTGTCAGAGTTTTTACTCCATCTTGTACTGGACCTTCCGGACTTTCTGGGAATTTCCACCGTTGAATTTACTTCGAGCAATCATCAGTCTTGTGGTGCTTTTTGTATTCGTCATTTTTAACAAAGTACCAAGAGAGAACCCACTCTCTGACCGGCTTCCACCTGAAGACAGTCCAGCAGTCTCACCTCGTGAATTCAGTTTCAGAAAGCTGAAGTTTGATACCCATGGTTTCATCCACTGGATCCGAATCAACAAATCCGTGTCGATCTATAAAGGTACGCTTCGGATGAGGATTGGACCATTATGGTCTTCGTCGTTCGGATAGAAGAAGTTCGATGTGGCCGTGACGGCATGGAAGACCACTAACTCTATCGAGGCGGCAATCGAGTTCGAATCTATGATCCGCACTCTCAAAAGTGTGCAACATGGTAACATTACGAGGTTCTTCGGCTGGTGCAGAGAAGGGAACAAATTCTTACTGGTGCACGAGTTCATGAGCGGAGACTTCGAGTTCATGAGCGCAGACTTGGAGTATGCCTTGTTTAGGTCGCCACAGTCGCTCTCCTGGAAGAACAGGGTCAATGTGATATTCGACATATGTGAAGCCTTGTGCTATCTCCATAGAAGGCGGATCCTGCATCGTCAGGTCAAGGCTAGTAATATTCTTCTGAAAGTTGTTTCGGACGCGGAGGAGGGTCATTTGGTCACCAAAGCTAAGCTCCATGATTTTCGGCTGGCGGAGGCATTGGGACATGGTGACAAAATCTTCGTAGACAAATCTCTTGTGGATAAGTGGTCTCTTGATCTGAGTTTCCGGGACCTGCCTCCAGAGGCTGTCAAAGATGGAATATTTAGCGAGGAGTTTGATGTCTACGCATTTGGAATCGTGATCCTGCAAATCGTTACCGGAAAGCACACTACAGGCACGTTTCCGAACTGCTACCAGTTTCGTCTGCGCAATTGGTTGGTTGAGAAGCGCGAAAATAACTGCTTAGAAGATGCTATCGACCCCAAACTCGGCATGCACTTGTCATTCACAACGGCCTCACACCTTCTCAGGCGTGAGGCCATTGCACTTCTCAATCTTGGCCTGGAATGCTTGCAGCCGGATCGAATCAAGAGACCCTCCATGTTCAATATTATGGAGAATTTACTTCGGATACTTCACACGGAGCACAATAGAAAAGCAAAATAAAATTGATCATGAGAGGTTTCTGATCTATATATCTGAATTGGTTTATTGATTCAGCTCAAACACTAAGTAGTTGCACATTGATACCTAGAATCAACTGGCTATGTTTACACCTGAATTAAGCACTAAAGAAAGGGAGATCTGCCTCCATTATACTACCCGAGACCTTAAGTGGTTCTCCTCAGTTACAATCTACCTAGTGTTGCTAACACCCCCTCTCCAAGGAAACATTTAAAAGCAACGTCCTCTCTCATGGCGCTGAAGAAAGTGGTCGCTTGTATTTGTGTGTTTGCAGATATCTTGTCCTTTCTCTGTGAAATTGTGTATTGTGAGCAACTGTCGAGTCCGTCAGCTAAGAGCTTTGGAAGATGAGGCCCGATGTAGATTTGTGTCTCCATCGGAGCAAAATTTCAATGTAGAGTTGGCAGCAATAGTGAACAGATAGGGTAGCAAACTAGCTATCGATCCTCTTGTAATTCTGCCGGTGATGGGATACGTATAAAGAAGAGTGGTAGAATCTTCGCCAGATAATCAGTTAGATTTATGTATGTGTGTATGTAATCAAATGCAACTTACCCATCTAAAACTCTTTTCTCAAAAGTGATGCTTGGACTCGATGTGTTGATTTTAACATGACATACAGGATTAAGAGCGAGTTTTATAGCACCTTGATTGTCACCTGAGAGATGCAAATTTGCTTGAGTCAAGGTTGCTTCGCTTGAGATCTTCGAAAAGGTGGTATAATATGGAGCTCGTCCAGCAGTAGGCGCATATAGACTCCTTTGTTAGTTGCTTGGGAAAGCGCCTTGCACTCTGTTTTTGTAGTACTGTCTAGGCCTCGGCAATGTAACGTAACCTTTGAGGGTTACCTTGCCTTGCCGGGTTACCTTACCCGGTAAAACTGTAAAAGGTAACGGTAAAGGTAGAGGTTTGGCTATAGGGTATCGTAAAGGTAACGTAAAGGTAGAGCCATATAGATTACCCGGTAATTACTGGGTAATCCTCTTAACCGCGAAAAATAAAAATGTGTACATTTTTAAAATTATTCAAAATACAATTCTGCACATTCTACTGAAACGATCCGGGTAAACTGTATTACATAGGTAAATTACTATTACCTATACCCTTTAGGGTAGAGGTAATAGGGTAATTACCGGGTAACCCTGATCTTTTACCCTTTAGGGTAGAGGTAATAGGGTAATTACCCGATAACCCTAATGTAAAAGTAACTTTTGAATCTTTTAGAATCCGTATCGGGTAACTCGGTAATTACCTTGAGGTAAAAGTAAAGGGTAAAGATAGATTATTGTGACACGAATAAGGTAAAAGGTAAGGTAAAGGTAGAGACCCATGGCTTACTCGGTTAACTTTTACCTTACCTTGCCGAGGCCTAGTACTGTCATTACTATATTGTTTTGACAACCAAAAGATTAAAACCTGCTAGCTTAAATAGGTAAAAACAAATAGAGACATCTTTCGTGGCAATTAAGATAGTTGAAGTCTAAGTACACTAGGAGAAAAATAAAGCCATTGTTGTTGTAATGGAGCTCATAGTGTCGGGCGAGGGTGAAGTTAAGGTACCGGAGTATGTGATAGATAGAGTACACATGAGTTTGTTGCCACAAGTGCATGTAACAACTCATCACTTCAACATCATAAGAAAAGTCGGAATGAGTAAAGCACATAAATATGAATTAGCCAACAATGTGAAAGTAGGCAAAAACATCAACAGGCGCAATTCTTGTGTCGGCATTCAAGACGTATCCGACTAGCAGTGGAATTGGTTTGACCATTGAATGATCAAGCTTACACTCGTCTAGGATCTTTGCAATATATTCTTGTTGATGAAGAATCAGAGTGCCATCCTCGAGCTTGTGATAATCAACACCAAAGTATCAATAGACATGCCCTAAATCATTTACCTTATAGCGTTGGTGTGGTTGCGTCTTGATGTACGCAATCCATGCAGGACAGCTTTCTAGTAGTAGTTGATCATCAACATAGAGAAGTATCTTGCTGATGATCTTACTTTCTTTGAAACAATACAAGTTGGGATCAAGTTTGCTTTGAGCCCAACTTTTTGATTGAAGATGCAGTTTAATCTCCTCATACCAGTGTCTTGGAAACTTCTTGAGATTATGGTTTAATCTGTTGAAAAGACAAACTAAATGCTCAAAAATGAGTGGCTGTATCATCAAAATCTACTCTCACAGCTTTCCATTAAAGAATGCAGTTATTACATTCAAATTGTAATTCTCATCCAAGTGCTATAGATAACAAAATAAGAACTCAAAGAATTGATCATCATATCACAAGAGCACACAATTTGTTATAATCAATGTCATGCTTTTGTTCAAGTCTTTTAGCTACTAGGCACATTTTTAAATGTACAGAGGTAGCATCAAGTTGTGATTTGACCTTAAATATACATTTGCAGGAGAGAGCTTGCTCACCTTATGGGAAAGTGATTAGTTCCAATGTAAGATTTTTAATGAGGGAGTCCAACTCCTCTTGCATTGCTGTTTTTCACCTAGGATCCTTGAGAGCTTCAGCCATTGAGAATGGATGATCAGTATGTTCTGTCGTCTCCTATGTTGAGGAAGGTGTGACATGATATGTGATAATTATCCTGCAAAAACTACGGAAATCTTTTGAATTCTTGATTGAGGTTGCGTCTTCTGCGTCTCATGGATCATAAGTCCAACAAAGTAAATATGCTTGTCGCGACGCTTGTAGCGTTGATGAAGATAATTGAGCATATGATTAGTTAGTCTATTGGTATGTAGCCGTCTCAAAATTGTACTCCTCTAGCTGAAATAATTCATCTAAGCTTTTGATTTCAGTGTCAAATTCATTTAATAGTTGCACAAACTTGTGAGTTTGATGGATATTATCTAGTATATGCAAAAAAAAAAGAATTATAATCTTTAAAGACAATGTGATAGCTCATCAGATCATAGCAACAATCCAATCTATAATCATTGACATTATCTACAAACAAACATATGTGTGACTTAGGCTGCAACTTTGTTTGCTTGTCCTATGCAATATGCATGTAGACAATGCGACCAACAATCAGATTGGTGAGAAGGCAAACCATGTAGCTTCTTGAAAGGTGTTATTAGATTAAAAAAGCAAGTGGCGCAGCGATTCAACGCATAGTCAACAGCTGGCATTAAATATATCGACAAATGATAAAAAATGTAAAAGTATTAAACATGCAACAAGGAGCCTCAAACAACGTAAAATTTTTGCATTTAACAATATTATTTTGTGCAAAAGTTGCTACCGTTGTGAGCTTGCAAGTGAAACATTTCTTTCCACAATAAAATTTGAACTCATTGGAGTTATATTCACATCCTCTATCGAATCAAAAAAGCGTAACTAGTCATGCTGTGTGTGTCAAACCAAAGCTACCTTGTGTGAGTATAGGTATTTTGCAAGGGAAAAAAATTATTGGGAATGATGCAAAGTGTTACTTTTAAGACGCAAGCATGATCCATGTAAAACAGACGTAATCATCAGTAAATGTTAGTAAGTACTTAAATTTGGTTCTTGCGTGAATTGGTCCGCATAGATCATTGTGGACTATAGTAAACGGGTCGTCTTCTTAATTGGGCTTCTTGGCCCAAGGTAGCTTTGTTAGAACACAAGCTTGACACCTCTTGTCTCTGCCAACGTGGAGACAAGAAAATCCATGCACAAGTGTTACATAGTCACATGATGTGATGCTTAATGACAAATATGACACAATCGTTGGTATCAGACGTTATTGAGATCGGGAGTTTGAAAATTGCTTAGAAATAGCTATGACCCCAACAAAGATAGGTCACCGTGAATACACAGAGTTTTATGTGTTTGATCACACCATTGGAGCATGTGAAGGAAGAAGAAAGTATGAAGATATTGCATCTCATGAAAAGCTCAATACAATTAACTGCATTGATAGCGTTGATCAAACAAACTTAATTATGAAAATTAGACTATTTGATTATATAATATAACTTGATTTTGTTAGTTAATCTAGTGAGAGCACATTCTTTGTAAAACCAGCACACAAAGAATAGGTTTGACTTCTTTGTTTGCAGAAACTCGCAAAGTTTTGATGCCAATAGCACATTAACAAGTTTCACTAGCAATGAAAATTCAAGATGATTATAGTATGGCTGATATGAGCTAAATGTTGACCTATTGTCTATCACCTAAATGTTTGTTTGAAAGTTTAACAAGTATTCTCTGAGTTTGTGTAATGCCAAGAATTCTAACTCTATTGTGTCGTTGTCACATTGGTCTATTATACTGATTTGCATCTTTACTCAGCACATGTTAGACGCACAAAGATGTAGCTGCAAGTTTGATCAAATCAAAATCACATTTGTAATGATTTAGATAACCAGAATATGTACAACTTTGTATATTTGCAATGGATGAATCTTGAACTTTTCATTCACAAAAAGTAATTAAAAATCTTGAAAATTGTTTAATTTTGATTATTCATTTTTTAATTTTTAATTCAAAGAATTTTTAAGTTTTAAGTATCTTAAAAGAATTATCAAAAATGGCATTTAAAATAGAGCATAAAATATTATCTTAAATATGTATGTATTTTCTTGATATCAATATAAAGATATTTCTAAATATTTGTTATAAATTTCTTATTTTTTATATTTTGATGCCATGAGGTTACATATTTCAAGTAATATATATATATATATATATATATATATATTTCAATTAAATTGAAAGTATAAAGTGTTATAATATAAATTTTTAGGTTTTCCAAGCAATTTGAGGTTATTTAAGGTTTTTAAATAGGTGGTTTGGGTGAAACAACGTCTGCAATATTATTTATTTTGATTGCAATTTTAGTCATTTGATGCAATTTCGAAATCCAATGGATTGTGCTAAATCTGCTGCAAAGCATCCATGCAAAATCAGAGACCGTAAGAAGCCCTTTAGCCAAAATACCTCTTATAGTATAGTCTTTCCATTGCATTTTGTGATACTTAAAACTTCAAAGTCGTTGTTGTTTTTTGTCAATCCTATAGATTTTCATCTAGAATCCACTTAACATTAGATCATATAGACAATAAGAGAAAGATATCATAGATAATATACACAAGTACACAAAAAAGTATGGAGTTCATTGTATGTCAAGATTACGTCCACAATAAATCTTACTGTATAAATCAAGAGTTCACTTTACAATAGATGACATTGATAGTAATAATAAGACATCATAGATTGTGTACACATGTACGTGAGAAAGTACGTGGTTCTTTCTAGGTCAGAACTACATCCATTAAAAGGTAATCATATTTTGGGTTCAGCCGATTGTCTAACTAACAAAAAACATAAATCCAAAAGATGAAATAAATACAAAAAATCTACCCCTTAACTCATGTTGAGGAAATAGTAGACTCCATCATTTACAAAATCATTTTGTGGTAAAATCTAGAAAGTAATCTAACAAAAGGGAGTATAATTAGAGTTTTGTAAATCTAAAACGTAACCATAATAGGATAGAGTAATAATATAAAGAGATAATTTAAAAAAGGAAAGCAAACTGTAA